CCTTTAAAAGTTTGAATTAGTCATCCCTGTTTATGGACTTGTTAACAGCAGAACAACTTTATAGCACTCCTCCTTTAAAAGTTTAAATTAGTCATCCATGTTTTTGCACTTGTTAAAAGAATTCTCAGAACTTAAGAAAACATTGAATTTGTAAACAAAATTTTAGAAAATTACACAGTAAACCTATTCGAAGCTCAAATAAAACATGTTCAAACATGTTTATTGCACGTGTATTCTCTTTAAAATATAAAGTTGTAACATATGTTTTATTAGCACAACACGACATATGCAATACTCCGAAAACACATTTTGATGCTACAGCAGTACATGAAAATTATGATTTAAAAATTTTGCAGTAGAAATAGGTTGGTAGATCTTAATAACATATACACAGACATTTACATTCATACATGTGCAAGAGTAGCTCTTAATACGCTTTACGCCTATCCATATAATAGTTTTTGCGCATTTCTTTTTCTCTACTTCTTTATATTTATACGTAACGGACGCACAGACATCCGTTTCCCAAATGATATTATTCTGCTAGCAGAAAATTCGTCGAAATTTGACAAAACATATAAGGGTTTTGGTATATCAAGCCACAGTTTAAAACTAAGGACTATCGAACTCATATTGGAAAAGGTGTTTACAAAACTTCCTTGTAAACAGCATGATCAATATTTGCACCTTCAAAAATGCCCTCCGGCCTCACAGCTTACAAAGCTAAAATTCGGGTTTTGATATGCGGTGGGCAGACTGGCAGTGCAAAGAATAGCCCAATGTGTAGCTTTGCGCTTAATGATAAACAAACAAATAAACCTCCAGGGACATAAACTTCAGCTTATCGAATGACCGTATCTTTGATAGAGCTACATACAGTTGACCGTGAGAAAAAAATAGCTCATCTAAGTGCAGCTTCCATTTTCACAAATTATGTAATTTTAGCAACATAATAGCACCTGTATAGTGTAACCTCTTCCACACGTGACGACGTGGAGTACATTACTAACGTATAAGCAATCGATCAAGTCAAATTTTAATATTAAAAATATTTAAATACTTATAGGACATCTGCAATTTAAAAACAGCGAGTTTTGAAAGAGTTAAAAAATTTTAGCAAGACGTGGTTTGGTCAACATTATTTACTATAAGTGTTTGAAATAATATCAGAATATTGAGAATTCAGTACTCGTGTACTGTTCAAGCAGAACTCTCAATATGTAATAAAATTTGAGGTATAATTCTGGTTGAACCATAAGCTTGAATTTTATAAAAATGGTTTAAAAACATTTTATCATACATCTTCACTTTTCTTGAGAATTATTATTTTGTCATTCTTATATGCAAGCTAGAAGTTTTGGTCAAAATGTATTTACATCAAATTTAATGAGGAAAAGGGAACACAGTCATGAACGATAATAAAGGTGTGTATTTATACCCATTTTTGCAATTTCCTCCTTGACTACCGTGTTTGTTAAAGTGAATGTTTTCACTTATATATCTCTTTGTTTTAAGAATATAATGACGAATTTTTCTCAAAGAAGTATCAGCGCTTGTTTAGTGTTTCAGCAAACGGGCATATTTATGGAAAAGTAAGAAAAACAGTATACTTAAAAACAGAACAAATCTTGGTAAGAAAAATATTCAATAGTTATTTCTTCCCGCTACGATTGTACTCGCTAAATGAAAGCTGAATGGCCGAGGTGGCGCATGCGCAATTGAAAGTTATATCGCACGATGGGTAAACGAACCTTCAAGCAAAGTACACAGTGAAGTAAGACTATATCACTGAAGGATTTTCGATGATCACTACTGACAGCACAAGGAAAGACAAACGCGGCTGGAATGTTATTTTTTTGTAGCTCTGGCAGAGTACGAAAGAAAAACAAACACTTTTGTATGGTGAGATATTGATTTCTAAATTTGAGGTAAACCCAGGAAAATGGACAAACTCTAACATATTACGAGAGACTGTTGCTTCTTGCTTTTCGGTCAGTGCAGGGATTGAAGTACGGGAAACTAACATTACTCTGTTGGCTTGTGCTCTGACTATAAACGATTCTTTGACGCGAATATAAGTTACAACTTGATGTTATCGGCAATGACAAAAGAACATGAACTTTTTCACGCTATTAAATCCGAAGACATACCCGCATTATCCCGCATTTTGGTGAAATACAAAACTTCAAAGCACAGTAAGTAATTTATATTATATGAAAAGTGGAGAAGGAGAGAGAGTTAAAGTTCCTATTTGTTTTTATCGTGGTAACATTTTGTGCTCTTCGTCTAATCTTAGAAATACTTAATTGGAAATTATAACAGTTAAGCCATTAGTTTATGTCTGCGTTTTTAGTTCCGATCTGTGTCAGTACCATTCTTTGATTAGAAAGTTCATAATATATACTCTCGTTTAAACAGGTGGTATACTTCGGTAATTAAACTTAGATTTTAGTCCCCCGGTAAGTTTTTCGAACTTACAACGCTAAAACCGGGGTTCGATTTGTCGCGATGGACAGAGCGCTGCTAGTAAATTGTATAGTTTAGCGCCGAAAAAAATAACAACTAAGATTTTAAATTTTAATTTAAATATTAGCTTAGTGAATAAGGCCTTAATCAAATATAATGACAACACAAAAAATGATAATATAAGACTCTTTCATAAATAAACCAATTTGCCAAGTAAAGAGTAAAAAACACAAAAACCGACGTTTTTTTGCCACAAAGACAAACGCGACGGGAATGTTATTTTTTTTTGTAACTCTGGCAGAGTACGAAAGAAAAGCAAACACTTTTGTTCGGTGAGATATTGATTTCTGAATATGAGGTAAACCCAGGAAAATGGACAAACATATTACGTGAGTTTTAAAGGTAGAGCGGTCTAAACCGTATTAGTTTTAGCAGTGTAAAGTTGTTAAGATATTCAACCTGGCTTAGTAAAGTAAATATTTGACCTTTCATTATGCCCAAAAACGTCGGTTTTCGTGTTTGTTTATTTTTTTACTCTTAATATGGTAGCACAATGTGCCTGAAAAGAAATTATTGTCAAGTGAAGTTGGAACGCTTAGGTTAACGTAAATAAACAACAAAGAAACATACTTTCTTTATCCGGACATAAGACACGAACCAAAATGTATCCGCTACCAGGCTTGTTTGTTGTTAAGCGCAGAACTATACAATGGGCTATCTGTACACTGTCCACCACGGGTATCGAAGCCCGGTTTCTAGCGTTGTAAGTCCGCAGAGTTATTTTTAGTTAAAAGGTAATTATGTATTTGACTATGACGGAAATTATGCTGAAGTGTAAATTAATCTTTATAGTTTGTAACATAAAATGTTCAGGAAAAGTTAAATATTTTAAGTTGTTGTTTGACTTACCTATGATAAAAACAAAGAATTGTCGGTGTCAAAACGTATAGGCTCTCAGACTTACTCCTGACTCACTTCATTAGATTCAGCAGTTAAAAAAAAAGGTGAATTTATGGGTTTTTCACACTTTATGAGTATTAGACAGTTTTAAAGGTAGAGCGGTCTAAACCGTATTAGTTTTAGCAGTTTAAAGCTGTTAAGACATTCAACCTGGCTTAATTTAGTATTTGGTTATAACTGAATATTGCAAGGAAAAAAAACAAAAAAGGGGGAACAGATTTCACTTAGTGGCCTTACATTTTCGGGTTTACTGAGAAAATTCTGAACTGTGTATATTTTTCCAGTTTTTCATGAATTACTTTGAGAGTATAATTTGGATTTTCAATTCGGACGAGGAACATCACAGATTTTCACACTGTTTTAGGTTACGAAAATTGTTATCCGTTCAGGCTTGCATACCTCCATAGTTTATGTGTTGAAGTTTTTCCTCTCATAAAGCTTGAAATGCACATATAATTATATAAAAATGACAAAGTAAGTGCTTTAATTTGGATTAGTCATATATGTATAGCGTCCGTCCGTTAATCTGTTTCTGCTCTGCTAGGCTTAACGGATTACTTTTGGCCATAGTTAACTTTAACTTTATTACTAATAAATACTCGTTTCTTTTCAAAGTAATCGATAACGTTGTTAATAAGTATAACACATATATCTGCTTTGGAGAGAGAGAGAGAGAAAACAAGAAAAAAAAACAGCGAATATGCCAACGATTTTATAATGCTGGTCAGACGAAAATAAATTTCCTAAACTGGACAAATCTTGTGAAATATTATTAGGATTACAGCCGAAAATAGCGTTGACAACGAAGATACCAAATTGCTGATTTAATCCGCATATAGGCTTTACGTTTCATACGTATTGATTTCTGAGGAAGACTTCTATAGTGAACTTGTTATACGAGATATCACTTCATTAGTTTATGCCTGCGTTTTAGTTTGACCTACGTAAGTAACATCCTTTGATCAGAAGTTCATAAGAGTATTTGGAAAACGAAACACATTTCTTGTAATACCAGTAAGAAAGTTGTGCCGTTTTAATATTTACCTAAGCCTAATTCTTGTACGTAAAGAAAGAGTGGACATAAGTTTTTGATTTTATGTTTTCGTAGTCATGTCATGCCTATTGCGTTATATACCATGAGTTAAACATTTGTTCGAACAGTGTGTTCTCGTAAAACGTCAGTATCTATAGGAACCGTAAAAAGAAAATAATAATATATCATAATATCAGGGATATGCAACAAGCACATTATGAAAGAATGTCTGTTACTTGTCATATTCAATAGAGATTTCTTACGAAAACCTTCAGAATCTAAACTCATTATCTTGGAGCATAACCTTACAGTCATTCGTCTGCACACGAAAGTCTCATACACCTAGTACCGTGTATTTCAAGACGAATCAACCTGCAACAAAATCATGAGAGTTGGCTTACCTTATCCAAAAGTTAGGTTATTACAAGTGAGCTTTTCTATATATAATCATACAGTATTTTTATATGTATACTTTTTTCTTACTTTTAATTTTCACATTAGTTTGAATTGTTGTTTTCTTGTGTTTCACACTATATATATGGT